TCGCACAATATTTTGTTCTGTTCCAGGTATTTCATCAAGTGTCTTTTTATAATGCGTTCCATTATTTTACACGCGATGCAAGTAAGCCTGACAGGAAGATTATTTCCGCAGTCAAGTCTCGAGCCTCCTTTATGGATCGGAGTAATGAGTGCGCACTTCCATTCTTCCGGTAGCTCGCCGTCTTTAAATTAATTTTGAAATATTGCGGATAAGGGTTTGCACAGTTCATTAGCAAGTTCACGAAGTGCTAGGGCGGGGATTCTATCTGGGCCAGGCGATTTGGCAGGTTTCAGCCGGAGTAGCTCGGCCCTAACTATGGTAGATGAAAAGAGTGGTTCCTCGGTTAAGGAGTGTAGGGGGGGATAGGATGTGGAAGGATACTGGGAGGAGAGGTTGTTTGGCGAATGGATGGATGGGCAAACATAGAACTAGGTTCTCGGGTGAAGACGGACTGAAAGAATTCGGAAAGGAGGTACACTTTAACCTGGTCATCAATCTCCACTTTCCCATTTGCAGACCTAAGGGCAGGGATTAGCTCCTGAGTCCTTTTAGTAATTCGTACACAACGATATAGAATTTTCGGATGCTCCAACAAATTTCGGAGTATGTTTAGTTCAAACTTCTTTCGCAGCTTTGAGGCCTCACTTTTACAGACGTTTCGTTGCCGCTTTTATTCCTGTAAGTGTTCTTCGGAACCAATTAGTCTGTAACGCCTCCACAGACCATTCCTTTTCCTGAAAGAGGCCTTCAAGTCCAGGTTTATCCATTTTGGGCGGTTTGTGATTGCCTTTCTTCTGAGAGGACAATTGGAATAAACAATATCTTTTAGTAGGTAACCGAAAGTATTCCAGTTGACGTTTGCTCGACCATGCAGTTCAGTCTCCCATGATATAGCTGCCGCTTCCCTCCTCATGAGAGAATAGTCCCCTTCCAAATGTCTCTCTCCCACCTCTCTGGTTGGACTGGTTTGAACCCGAGAGTACGTTAGTCCCTTGAGAATTTGGGTTGATGAGTGACTTATGGTCGACCCGAAAGTACGTTAGGTCCTTGAGAATTTGGGTTGATGAGTGACTTATGGTCTTGGGACATCACGCTGTGGGTCGCCGGAAGATTGTTGTGGACGAAAAGCTTGCAGAATTCCAGTGTTCCGAAATTCGGAGTCACCAATTTGTGACGGTCATTGATGTGAGATCAACTTAAACCACGCACAATAAGTTTGTTTCGTCTAATGTCAGCAGTCAAAGAGCTGTGAGGAACAGTTTATTCTGCCGTAAGTTGGCTGCTTGCCTGCGACAGAGATAAGTGTACGTCCACGGAGAGTGTCAGTCGCGGTGTGTAGTTTACGCGGGGGTGAAGTCTGTGTCAGTAGGTGGGGTGACTGGCTGAGTGCTGGTCATGTGGTTGGATGGATTAGGGAAGGATGGGGGAAACGCATAATCACAGGGGTTCACGGGTTTCAAGCCAGGTCGTCCGACGCGGGTGAGGTGATAATAGTTTGTGAGGGCAGCCGGGAGTCACTGCAGCAGGACAGGAGGGGCCCCAGTTCTAGCCAGCGGAGGTAGTCGTGTGTCAACGGCCCGTCAACGATTGTCGCGGCCATCGACCGAAAAAGCGGAGCCGGAGAAAAGGGGAACTTCAGCGGCTGCTACAAGCCTACTATTTACTTTTTTGAGTGATGGAATAGGGATGATTCCCTTTGTTTGCTGCCCCATAACTAGCCATGTCACTTCAAAGTTCTAATGAAACACTTGCGTACTAAACGGAAATACGATGCGCCACAGGTATTTTAAGAAAGGTTGTCTACTACTCCGGAATAAACAAACTTGTGTACCTGTTCCAGAGTTATTACCTTAGTCGTCTCTGAGCCGGACTCCAACAATTCGAATCTTGTGTGCAACTGTCGCTCACGAGAAATCGGGTGCCGGTACCCGGTTTTCTAACAAATCAACCAAAGCTTTACATGGAATCTATCTACGAGGAAATAAAGTCAGGAGACGATGGGTGCCTTCGTCGTTTGCTGGAATCCTGGGAAGTGAAAACCAGAACTTTTTATGGGAACCTCTGCGACCAACTGAGTTCGTCAGAAAATTTCAACAGCTTTAAAAAGCTTTACGAACAGTCATTAGCTCCAGAAGCACCCAACGGCGATCTTAATCCACGTCAGTCCCCCCTCTGTTGGTTTGTCATAGAAAAATTTTCCTGACCTTATTTATGTTTATCTTCGCCTTTCCTTAGTCCCACAAGTAGTTTTGGTTTAAATCCGCGTATTTTTGGGTTGCATACTGTTTTTTTTCCGATTGTGCACCTTGTTTTAAGAGTTAATTCCCACGGTTCCACTCGCCCTTATAGTATATGCATGGACTAATACTTCCACTGAGTACATTAATTGCCCGACTGAACCTTACTCATCCAGAGAAGGGTTTTTCACACAATTCTCACGACGGGGCTGTCGAGCTTAATGGAGTAAAGTAGCTGTCGGTGGAGCTCGGTTTCGTGCGGGACGCGGGCTGTGAGAGGAACTACTTATGAGCGATAGTACTGAGTGTGTTAGAATTTATGTAAGGACCCTTAATAATTACAGACTAGTTGAAGACACCTGCGCTAACTATGGCTTACAATCTCCCTCAGCAGCTCTACTTAGAGAACCCTGTTCAGTTTGATTGAAGTTTCCCTCTAATCTATCGAACTTGTGCATTAGACGTAGGCTTTTCGTGTCCTCTCGTTCACATTCTTCGCTTGTAATTGAAAGTTTTGTTAGCGTTATTGTTTTGACTACCATGGAAATGTTTCTGTGGTCAATCCTGGAACTCAAACAACGTAACATACTAATAAGATAAGGTCGACCGGATCCCACTCTGACCACTGAGGATGCAACATCGAATAGTATAATTTACCCCAAGAATGACCTGTTGATTTTCTCAGTAGTCTATTTCGTCTGTTTTAAAGTGTTTCAAATTTTTGTAAATTAAGCCTTATCGGTAATATTAGGTAGGTTAACCAATTTATCCCCAGACCTCTTTTCGGAAAAAAGTACTTAGACTGAAACGTTAACTTCAGGTAATCTAGCCGCTGACTATCTGGTGCGTCCACAGATGGCGGATATCGGAAAAAGTTCCCACTGAAGACTATGTATGAAGTAGAAAAACCGCTGGGTCTGTCAAAGAATCAGTCACATATCAGCAGCAGCACTGCCAACAGAATCGGACGATTGAGTTTTGACAATCGACAATCTGTTAAATGCTACAGACTAACGACAGCACCGGGACATGACGAGCCCGAGCGGTTATTAACTAGATTCGCCCGATGATCAATGCCCTGAGGCCTGAGCGTCCGAACAGAGGTAGACCTGACGTTAAGGAGGCTCGACTTGTACCAAACCGCTTAATCTGCATCATATTCAAGTCTTTTTTGTCACGAATATCGATCCTTGCTGCAGGTTCCGTCGAAACCTACGTATATACGACTCACAGTTGGCGATGAGTAAGCGAAAACCACCTGCGCGCTAAAAAAACAGTTTCGCCGACGACTGTGTTTATGGGTCTTCGTATTGGTGTTGGCAACATTGTAATTCTTACGTCCTACGCCCCAGCGCGGAATGTTGACTCTATGCGGAAACAGGCTTTTATTGACGATTTTCAGACTGCTACCAGGCGCGCTCTCATATATGAAGTTGTCGCCACTGTGGAGGGCGAATTTCGTCCGGTCTCTGTATACCACAGGCTCGGCCCCTTTAGCAGCCATGCAGGTCATTGAGGTCCTGGTGACCAAGTATAACTGTGGCAGAAGGTTACCAAATACCGAGTTCCTTTAGTTCACAGGGGAAGTCAAAAAACAGCAGAACACATTGTGGGTATTGCCTTCCAGCGTAAAGCTGTAAGTACTGCTCAATAGCAGAAGTTAAATGACTGCATGATTTGACCCAGACAGGGACCGTTGCCACAGACTAGATGGACGCTGCAGTCGATCTGATCTTTAAAAACGATCGCATACACCTGTGAGAATCATTGTGGCGCAGGTAACCCTGACTTTGTCGCAAAACCCACAGTAATCATCCCTCTTCGCTATCCTTTCCCCTTTCGTGACGTTTGGGCAGAAATGGACCGTTATGGCCTTCGACCGAAGCGAGAATGTGTTGATCAGCATCAAACCCTGCAATGCTGTCCCTACTGCCAGCAGCGTACTAGTTCGCTTAGTAGATTTTGCTTGCAAACTTGACTCGGTACACTGAATTCTTTTTAGCTGAGCATACTCTTTGACGTCATCACATCTAGCACTTAGCTTTATTCAAACCCTACTCTCGCATATTAATCATAAAAATCTGTCTAAATAGTGAGGAGAGTAATTCCACCGATGTCCCATTCAGCGTCCACCAGAGCTGCCGTCTCCCACCAACTCAGTCGCCCACACACTATATCGGTTTTTCAGCACGCGTTAGCCGACCGTACGGGTGTTCCAGTAGACACTGGCTCGTGTATTACGGGTCTTTACCACTCTGAGGACGCTGTATTACCTGCAAGCTACCTTGGGAAAGTGCGGCGTGTGGCGTCCCAAGTGGGTGAACAGGCAGCGAAAGTGCCTAAAGTTGATAATCGCCTGGCCGAAAAATCTGCCTAATTACAGTAGATGGCGGGGCTCTTTGCCTAGTAAAAGGTTTCTACTGCCATTGTGCAAACTTACTACCGAACGGACAACGATGAAGTCGACCACTAACTCAAAAGGGTGCATAACTCTAATTAAAACTTCTGAGATCGGCACGAAGTCAGTCTGAAGAGCATACTGGGAGTGCACGAAACTTCCATCGAGAAAATCCTTTTGTTTGGACATGAGACGTGGTCTGTGTGCTCAGAAAATTGCGCACGGAAGCATATAGTTGATTGTGCCTTCACTAAGTCCTCATAGTTGTCCTTCCCAACGAGCAGCTATAAAGTCGGTCAGGAGTCCAGAATTTCAACCACCTTATTTTTACCTGTCAACTTAGATCGGTACGTCATGTGCTGGGCAGGTCTAAAGGTGAGACCGTCCGGGGTGTCATCTCGCCGAAACAGCTCCTGTCTGATAAATAGAGCATTTACGATTCTATCGCCTTTTGTTTGAGAAACAGTTATGCCGACTGGTTGCATTTTCCTTAGAAGGTGCGGTGAACGGACTGCAATTGAAGGTGGCCGCTATTGATGCAATGGACTTGCAGCCTCATACAGGTAGGGTCGACAGTGAAGAATGCGTTCATAAGTACAAGTACCAAGTAGGCGAAAGTACTGACATTTCGCGGCACGAAGTGTACACGTCTAGACATGAATGTAGTGGTGATGTCAGTTTACCTGCTCAACGTCATTTATTTTCATGACTGCTGTAAGTGCCACATTTAGGATCCACGGCAGTCTGCTCCCCAGTCCTGAGTAGAACGGAATGTTTCTGTCATTAGGCGACCGTCAGAGCCTCGACTGTTGGCACGTCGTGCTAGCTTTAAAACGCGCTTGGTTAATTATGATAAGAAGCTAAGTGTTGGATCGGAGCCAGTCCGATCTCTTTGTTCCCCAGTGGCTGGTCCGATTCAGACAGACTGGCTGTAAGATTGCGAGCAGTGACTGGGGTAGCGTGAAAGTCTCCGCCTTCGCATGCTCCCTGCATACTCATTCCTCATTCACTTTATCAGACTTTGTCGAAGGACACCGTATCCATATATGTGAGATGTGCACATTGTCACATGCGAGGTGTCACCCACCATAGCAAAACTAGCAAGTCGCATCACACGGCTGTCGCGTAAGCAATTGTGTGTTGTGCTAATAGTGGACGTGTACAGGCTTTTGACCGAACTGGTCCTGCGTTGCCTAAATGTGTGCGAGTGATGGTAGACCGAAGTGGTCTAAGTGAGATCCGAGTCCTTACCAACCATACAACTTCCTGCACCGGTCCTTAGGAGTAGTCATTTTCCCTGAACGGAGAATATCTCTCTAGGTATGCGGATTGGTAACACCGAAAAAGCAACAACCCATAACAACGCTGTAATCGATAAACCTACTTGATTACAGACGGCGAACAACCAATCGAACTTGACAAGCTGTCTTCCGGTTTCTTAATTGCGGGATTGCTCATTATTGTCAGACAGAGTATCATTAGCCCATTGGTTAATTATAAGGCATAATCTTTGCAGATCTTTGTATCAGTAGCTCTTGACTAATTTTTGTACAAAATCACTTCATGCCTTGATCACTTCCCTAAGTGTCGCAAATGTGTATTCATTGACCCCCAAAAGACGTTGCTCTTGTAAAATTTGTGACATCTTTGCTAGCTGGGGAATGCGTCAACCCGCATTCTAAAGACATACTTCCATATGTTCATGAAACATTATCAGCCATCGCAGACTCCGATAGTCGGGTGAACACTGCTACTATTTTGATTTCAGGAAAGCCAGCTTCCCACGCGGTCATGGACGCGTGATATACGGGTTGGCACACCGTCACTGTTGACTTTAAAGGACCGGAATGAAGATAAAATCGACAAATTTACCAGTTCACGTTGTGCCTAGCTTGGTTCTTCAAACTGCAATAAATTGTCACATCGTACTTCTTTAGCCGTTGTTCTTGCCTTAAACATCGCGGATAACGACGTCCGAGACGGTTGCTGTTTTTAAGCATATTCTCCCAAGATGGTGTTTAAGATGTCACAGCAAGAGTGGTGGAGAGCTTCCGTGGTATTGTTTTTCTACCCTTCTGAAATCATCAGAGTACTCGTACATACTCCTGGTCTTTTGCGTGGCATCGATATGTCAGTTATCGCTGTAGCTCAGACCTCCAGTAGTTCCCACTAATCGTCTGCTTGAGAATGCGTTTGTCATTTATCCGCGTTCTTCCTATAATGACACTGTATTAACGCATTTTTTTGCAAATTGTCTTCGCCTTATCTCTTTGAAGTATTTTTTACCTTGGAAAAGGCACACGTTTTTAGAATTTTAAAGCACTATCAGACTGACAGGGTCGCGTTTTTGTGAAGTTTGGTTTCCCATTCCATATTTTTGCACTTTTGTATTTCTCGGGTTGTTAATTCGATCTAGTTAAAACATATTTATTAATTGTTTATTCCGCCGAGGTCATAGTTATAGTCGTCAATTAACACTGAAAGGTTGAATGAACTTATGGCAATAATAGTCTTGTTAGAAATCTTGGCACTGCCCTTTCATATTTTGGTAGTTTACGTCGGCAGTGCAGCTAGCCCTGATAGTCGTCTTTTTGCACATTTTATTCTGATTAAGTGGAAGAACAGTTATATGCTGTGCTCGGGCTTCGCGCTGCGCTTGCAACAGAGGTCAAGTCTTTGGAGGCCCTGCGTTACGAACTGGAGGACTCGGCCTCGGACTTTCAGGTGCGAATCAGTTTGGAACATTCAATTGCTACTCGTCGCGAGCTGGAAAACGAACTTCGCTCCACCAGGTCACGCGGTAAGCACTTGATATTACCAGGTTACCTAACCAGCCTGGTTCTATATTGCTGAAATTTATACAAATTGTTTGTATCTTTTCCAAGTCGCACATATTCCGGCTACTTCAGTCAGCAACTTGGGGGATACCTGTCGGGCTAATAAAAAAGTAGTGTGCTTTGTGCCAAAAAATTTAGTCTCACGTCAGCGAAGTTAAATTCTGAGGGTTATGAAGGGAAGGAGAAGAGACTTCGCGGACAACTTTATTGGCTGACGGCGTCTCCTATCCACTGTCAAGGTATTTATTGCACAGGAGGATTGAACATAATTTTAGCGGCCTTCTGAATTGAGTACCTCTGTCCTGACCGCCATTTTTCTTCCTATTTGTTCATCACCACCTATCTAACAAGATATCGGTAGTTATGGCCCTATTGTATGCGCGGTCGTCTAACCATGAAGGGTGATAGCGAATCTGGAGAAGTCGACCCACTTTCTCCTTTAACTGGAATACTGAGGATCCACAAACCACCTCCATGCCATCACGCGAACTGCTGACTCCCTCAACGCCTCCATGTGATCGACAGACCCCGACCAAGGACAGCAGCACTGAGCTCATGAGGCAGACAACGATGTGCCCAAACCACCTTGGTCATATTTCCTGGACGGTCTGATATATGCTCGCAATGTCGCAACGAATGCCGTTTCAGTCAAGACAATTTTAATGTACTTCGCTCGAAGGAGGGTTCTCAGACAATGGTGACCAAGCATTTCCGGTGTTCGCTTATTTTCCGCGCGCGCGACCCAGCATTAACAGCCGTATAAAAGGACTGACGGGGCGATGCCCGTCAAGTCCACCGATGCTGCAAGCAGAACTGATTCGAAAGACGGTTTCGTCCTTGCTCTGTCCGTTTAGCAATAGTCCCACCCCAAGGAATTCTAAAAGGTCCATTTCATTTTGACAGTTGTTAATTCGGAGATGACACCGTCAAACCGCCCAGGGCTCTTCTAAGAATCTACTGAATAACGTAGTTCAATAGAATGAACGATAAATCATGAAAAGAGTGTCTACCAGAATATCGTCTAGTCTTATTATCTACAATGGTCAGCGAAGCAGATGACTGTCGGTTGTTGGTAGCCATGGTAGAATTAAACAATGCGTCTCACTGCAAATGTCTGGTTTGTGCACCCACTCCCAGTTCGGAGTCTGGCTTAAGTTGGTCGCATCCTAGAGCCACATATTTTCTCGAGTTGTCCCAAAATAGTAACGTCGAGGACCTTTGCAGCAACGTCGGCGGGACTCACACATCAGTAGTTCTCGCACTTTGTCTTTTCTTGTCTCACGGAAACAGGCATAAGGGCCACTCAACCCCAGGCATCCGGACCATGCTCATCTCGTGCTTCCCTCATCTCCTCATAGAGCCGGCTTATAGACTTTAACTGAAACACCGTCCTCTCAGGGTACCTTTTGTTGTGCAGCTTCCAAATTGTATTGGCGATTTCTCCATGAGACAAGGATGATACGACGCCCCATAGGACGGAAAGGAATATGATTCCGCTGCATAGAAGAGAGGGGGTAATGTGTTGGTCATAGGTGTTGCGAAGGTGCTCGAAGTGCTCATGTCACTACCTAACCTGGTTAACAATTTGGTTGAGTTTTTGAGTGTAATCAATACTTTTGGAATTGACTTTGACATCCAACACTCCAGTCTTGTAGTTTGTGTGCGCCTCTCCAGTCGTAATTGCCGTCATTATTTTGAGTTAGCTGGAGAAATAATCGTTGCATACCTTATTCAGAGATGTCTGGACAGACGGTTAACCGTGAGGTCCTTGGGTCGGTCCACCCACGGCGACTTTGCTGGATGAACTCAAGAGTTCATTCAGTTGCCTCGCGGGCGGAGGAATTCAATGATTACCATGAGCTTCGATTGGAGCCGCAAAGCCAGACCAGATTTCTGCGCCGGAGCCTCGTCTGCGCTCAGTTATCGTAGATTTGCGTCACAAAAGCGTCTGGCATTTGAGCATCTGGGCACAGACGAGAGGTGAGCTCCTCGACGTGTGGAGACTAAAACCTGGTTTTATCCATAGGTTTTATCGTTCTCGGTATCATGCGTTGATCTGCTATTATGAACTAGCTATGGAAACATAAACTGTCTGCATTTTGGTCAGTTTGACTATCTGTATGACGATCGCTTGAATACCCAGTCAGCAGGCGTTTACAGCAATGATGAAAACACGTGATGTAACTACTAGCCGGTCCTGGTCGGAACAGCTCGACCTTCTCGCATCATTGTCGCATCGAAAGTCAGGCCCAGTGCGACTAAGGAGGTGGCTGTTTAAGGAGTTGTCTGGTCCAGCCTGGCTACTTCAGTCCCCAGTAACAATCAGAAAATCACACCAAGGGAGGCCTTCAACCAGTTCTTGCAACAGCGAAATAGAAGGCTTCTTTATTATGCCGTTTGGTAGTTGGTGTTGGTGCGTAGGCTTTGACGGCTAAGATGTTTGTAAACTGCACCTTCAGTCGCACGTAAACCAGTCGGCCATCCATCGATTCCGAAGCAAACAGTTTCATGGTTCGCTCATTGCGGGGAGATAATTGTAGCATCGTGTTAACCGGAAGAGTCGCGTGCACCGCTGTGATACAACACAAGGTGGGAGTTGATTACCTGGTCCTTAATTTCGTCCAAGCCTGGGTCGGGTATTCGGGCCTCAGATAAAGCAGACATCCACGTTCTACTAATGGAGACTACTCGTCTCCTGGCTTCGGTCGCTATGGTATATGAGCGTTCATACATTTCATCATTCGTTACCAAGAGTCCGTTCCCGATTGAGTAATCGCCAGCACCACTGTACTAGGGTTGGGGAAGGCACCATTTCGCGCAGACGTCGCTGCATGTATCGTAATACGTAAATCTGACATTTCCATGGGGTTTCTTGGAAATCCTGAGTACGGACATGTCCCCAATGGTCGCTCGAATTGTTTATTCTGCACCGTCTCTATTGTTTCGGCCCAAGAACCCGACAAGAAGGCAGCGATGACAAACTCATTTAAAGGTGGTTCACCGTTGTCGTGTCTCAGTGCAGTCATCGGATTTTGGGGCATTTTTAAGGCAGTCGGTGTGCCGGACCCCAGCCCTCCGCGCCCTAATAACCGATTGCCCGCGACCGTTTATCCGCCAGACCCAAGAGTCTGCCTATTTCGCAGCTAACCTCTGGAAGGTCATTTCACTACTCGCCAACCATGGCCGCACCGTTAGCCAGGTTCTAGACTAACGGGTGAATCCTCGCCTCCTTGTGTTTGGACCCTTGCCAAAGTCAGTGTTTGATGAATTTCAGCGCCCACTGTGTCTCTGTATTTCTGTAAGCGCACAAGTTACCCACCCAGGGCTATGACTGTTCCACTTCAAAAAGGGACACGGCACGTTCACGTATGCCCTTTTATTTTAAACCCACTTTATTATCACTCCGTGACTCGCCTGGTTTGCCACGCCCTACTGGTTTCGGTTCTATCAGTGTGTAGCTTTGGGCCTCCGATAGGTGAGCATTCGCCTAGCCTTTTGTTCCTTATGTCTGACTCTGCTCTCAACGATTTGGCTTCTCACCGCGAGCCCGTTTGGCCCTGTGTGGTGATTGGCGTCATAACAGCCCTTGGTCGGAGGTCGACTAATTGGTTTGTTCTCCTGACAACTCACCTCCTCGCATGTGAATTGTGGGAGGCAGATCCGTGACTACTTTTAGACTTTGTTTGGCAAAGGACGAGCACAAGTGCCCTCATTGCACAGTCTGTTCCTGTCCATTCACTTTTTATAGCTAGCTATTTTGATTTATGGCGCAATAATGGGCGGGAAGCGTACTAATTAATGCGGCGAACTAGTGCTCACATGTATTTGAGCGACAGATGACCACACGATTGCTGTGACTGCCTTTAGGATGGTGGGGGCTAACAGATTTGGTCACTTTCCATATTCATTTATACCTGCCTGAACGACGATCGGGGAAATACGGAAGGCAACATAAAGTAGCGCTCTTGAGTAGTCAAACCTACTTATCTTCCCCACGCAGGGACCAATAATTTTTTTTGTTACTCAAAGTTAACGAACTGGAGGTACAAAATCAGATTCTCAACGCCGAGATGTTGGGCCTGAGGAGTAAGTACGATGCAGACTTGGCCGAGGCAAATACACGTGTACGGATGGCCGAGAAAGCGGTCATCGCGGCGACCCGCCGTACCGGCCCTCCGACAGCCCCCGCTGCCCCTGCTGCCACCAACCAAAACGGTTCGGCCTCCGACATTGTATCTGGCCACACGACTGCGACAACTTCATCTGCGCGACCACCGCCAAGATCCTCAGACCGTCCAACTGTCTCCTCATTCTCTTCAACATCTCAATTCCGCTCGCTTTCAGATAAATTCAACGTAAGTACAGTGCTTTTACATTTGAGCTAATGGCCTCGCACAACTATGTCGCATTGCATTCTGACGCTGACGCCTTTGCCGAAACTCATACTTAATTCCACGTCAGCTGAGGTTTTGGTGCCTATTTTTTTCATTTTCATCATAAATGGACTGCAATTGGCCAGCATGTTTTATTATTTCCCCGTCTCCATTCTGTTTATCAGACGCATATTCATATTTGAAGTCTTTAATGCGGGCCCCGGCTCACATAATACTTTTGCGATGAAGGACTGTGCTCTCAGACTGTAACCGAACACCGCTCCTTGGGGGTCCTCTTTTAACGTACAGGAACCTCGCTAGTAGTGTAGATCGGACTCCTAGATGACATTTCAATAGAAGAATAGGCGATAACCGGAGTGAGTGTCTTTTTGCTGTGACGTTCCGAAGAGTTATGTCAGCTGCTCACATTCAGAGACTGAAGATTCCTGTGCACAGCCCTCATTATATAGCACATTTTGCCCGAAACGCAGGTCGCCAATACCGAATTTGGGGGTGGATCAGATCGCCGTGATTTCGTTAAATAAACGGAACCGTTAGTTATCGCCGCGGGGACGACACGGGCCACGGTAAAACGAGATCTGATTCACCCCCAGAGTCGACATTGTTAACATACTCATCAGGCAGAGTGCGATGTGTAAATTGGGCCAAAATCAGTACTCAAGGCGCCAGACCCAAAATAAACACCTCGTGAAGTGCAAGCACCTGCTTGCACCATCCCCCAAAAAGGAATTTTGTTTGTGGGTAAAACAGTAGGTGCTTTGTAGATGTGTGGTCTTAATCAAGCGCTTCTAAACTACTGGAGGCGGGATGCTGGTGTGACATATAGCATGAGGTGGTCTGCTCTCTTTTCTTTGAACGACCGGCCCATTACAGGAGCGTATCGGCGGCTATGCTTACGACTCCGTTTCTGCGCGGAAATAAAAGGGGTGTTACTTAATTGGCGTCTCGAGTTCTACCTGTTCCATCCGCGAGCAGCTTGTCGTTCTGGAGTCTTTGGTATCCGTTACATCCGGATCGACTATGTTTCGGCCAATTCATTTTTACATTTTTGTAGTTTTTAGGTGTCGTGCTTTGATTCCTGATATTAGCTATTCAGTGGCGTACCCCCTTCGATTTACTGTAAGGCCTTTTCATTCGCACACTTCAGCGTCTTTTTCTGCGTGTGGTTTTTCTCTCCAGTAGCTTTGCGAACCTCCTCCCTCCCACTCTTACGCCCACGTAAGTTTTGCGATTGATACCCAGCGTTGGCGGAAAAGACGCATATGACTGCATCAGAATTCGAACAATGCAGAAATATCGCAGGGAGTAGTATTTGACGATTCTTGGATTTCAGTACGCCCTGTGCAGTTGTCATTCAAAACCCGGCAGTTTGGTCGTAGCAAGCGACAATGTTCACCACTATCGCGAGAAGTAGGCAGTGATGTTGTGTACGGATATTTGTTTAGCGTGCATCAACCTCGTCGTTATCAAACCCAACATGTTCCGGTGGTTGGCGTTGCCCCAGTGGCTGACAAAGCTGAACACCCCGCCCGCGCGTGCCATACACGACCTAAATCCCAACTCCACGCATACCGGGCTTCAACAACAAAGTCACGGATATCCGCTCTCGTTGATACGCGTGTAACCTAGTAGGCCCATGCAGTGATCGGCGGTGTGAACAGTGGAGGAGGATGCGGCGGGTGTAGGTTGATGCTCCGGGCACTGACTCGCCAGTCTCTGTACGAAGGATTTGCAAGTGACCCACCTGGCTTACGTGTGAGTGAAGTGTGACCATAGTGAGGACAGATTTGGGCCGAATCCACATCACTGGTGTTGTCGGTGACGGGGTTGGTGTTTGGTGGCGCGTCAGGACGGTGAAGTGGTGATATGGGCAGGAACCGCCTCAGCGGGTGTTAAGGTGGTGGAGGAGGCAATGGGAGATCAGGAGCGCGGTTTTGGTTGGTTATCGACGTGGGGGGCGAGGCAGAGGTGGGCGGAGAGACATGAGATGGTGCTATCCGGGTGCCGCAATTGGTTTGAAGATGTCCAATAAGACCGATTGGTGCTTGAAACGTCCGCTGACATCGTGGCGACATCTCCATATAAGAGTTTTTTGGGTAGCTGCTCGTCGTCCATCCGCACGAGGTGACCGCTCCAACGCTGTTGCAGTTGTCACACCATGGCGTAGAGGCTGAGGATTAAAGTCCGCTCCAGTATTTTCGTATCCGGTATCCGGTCCTGCCATCTTGGCTTTAATATCCGTCGAAGAGTGCTTAGATTGACGTGGTTGAGTCTCCGCGCCTGCCTCCGTTCCCTACAGCAGCGTTGGAAGGATGACTGCCTCGTACATTTTCAGTTTTGTGTTGAGATTCAGACTCGAACGGCTCCAGACGGTGATTTACAGACGGCCGAAGGCTTGGCTGGCCTTGGAAGTCGGGCGAGCCACTTCATCGCCGATTTTGGTGTTGCCCGGAAAGGCAAAGTTGTCCACAACCTGCAGTTCGGCGCCGTTCACGTTGATTTGTGATGCGGCATAGGCAGCGTTGGGTGGCGGTTGGTACATAATCGCCGTTTTCCCCGTATTGATGGGTAGGCCAAAATTGTCACAGGCGACGCCGAGGAGGTCCATGTTCCTCTGCATGTACCCTTCGGAGGTGGCGTTGAGGGCCCAGTCCTCGGCGAGGGGAAGTTCACGGACGGTAGTTGTGGAAATACGCGACTGGAAGTGCATTCGCCGCCTGCATGATTTTCCACTGTTCTTCGCGATTCAACATGTCAAAGGCTTTCGTCAGATGAATCTGCATCTCCTGACACGTCTCCTACCGTTGGCGGGCGGCGAAGATCATGTCGATGGCGGCGGAGGCCGCATTGGCTTTCTTGAAGGAGTCCTTGTTCCAGATGACTGTTGAGATGGTTGAGGAGGATGCGAGCTAAGGTCTTTCCGATGATGTTAGGAAGGCAAGTGCCTCTGTGGTTATCGAAGAGTTGGCGTTTCCCTTTCCGTCGTCTCTAAAATCCCGACGAGCAGGTTTCTGATGGCGGCATAATTGTCGTCGAACCAGTCGTGGTGTTGGCGAAATGCGCGACCGAGGACAGCCAGAACCGTCGACTGGACTATGTATCGCAGTTGGCATCCTCGGTTCTCCACGGAGACGTTCTCGTCAGCGGTGCCGGCTGCGGCGACTAGAAGGCTGGCTAGTCGTTTATGAAGCTCATTGCTGAAATGGAGATGGTGAGCAGGCAAAGACAACAAAGCAATATTCACCTTACCTGGGGATTGCGTACCTCGTGGTCTCCTGCGAGGCTGTAGACGAATCCTCCTCTTGGGGATAACGAGGCGGTGGTCGGTCCACCCGTCAGCACCCGGGATCGCCCTTGTCACCAGCACGTCCTGCTTGTCTCGCCTCCGGACGAAGACGTAGTCCAGCAGGTACCACTGACGCGAGCGAGGATGCATCCAGGTGACCTTCTCTCGCGTTGGAGGACGGAAGAAGGTGTTGGTCAGAATGAGGTGGTGTTCTGCACAGGTTCGTAGGAGGAGCAGGTCATTGTGGTTGGAGCCGCCGAGGCTGTGGGGCCGCAGCACTCCTTTCCTGGCAGCATGGTCTGTGCCGACGCGAGCGTTGAAGTGCCCAAGGCCAATCAGCTTATTCGCCTTCGTCACAGTCGCCAGGAGGGCCTGTAGGTCCTCGTAAAATTTATTTCTCGCGTCGTTAGGGCTGGTCATTGGGGGAGCGTAGATACTAACGATGGTGACGAGTTTGCCTCCCTGGAGAGACAGGCGGAGGCTCATCAAGCGTTCATGGATGGCCTGCGACAGACAGGGTAGTCGTCCCACAATATTGTTACGGATGGCAAAGGCGACACCCGCGTCCTGTCGCCCTGCCTTGTGGCGACCGCTCCAGAAGAAGGTGTATCCGACACCCACCTCCTCCGGTTGGCCTTATTGGGCGAACCGGGTGTCGCTGAGTGCAGCGATGTCCACCTTGTAGTGCACCAGTTCTCGAGCTACTACGTTTGTCCTTCATTCCGGTCGGTTGCACCTCTGATTGCCTAAGAGAGAACGAACACTCCGGGCTGTCAGGCCGCCTACAGGTTTGCATGTCGCCCTCTGCGTAGGACTTTTTGAAGTATGTGGGAACCAGGGTGGGTGTGAGGGATGAGCTATCTGGTTGCTGAAACATAGGCGATTAGTAGACAGATTCAACAAACGTATTGAGCAGGGCAGTTTTAAACTTACCTGGCAGTGAATTACTTTGTGTAAATTTGCGGAGTTCAGATGGAAGTCCCACGTGTGCAGCTGGAACGTCTTCCAGCCGCGGGGTCATCGGATTGCTGAAATGCAAACGGTGAGCAGTCAAAGTCGACAAAGTGGTATCCAACTTACCTTGTAGCCTCATACGGGGTTGCAGGCGAAACCTCATCTTGAAAATTGCGAGACGGGGACCCGTCCGACCAACGGTGGTGGGAGGGGAGCAGAGTTACCGCGTGTGGAGATACATACACGGATACACTCACCTGGTTTACCTCAGCGTTCGAAGCGTTTACCGCTAGGCAGAGCCTAGCATCGGGTAGCCACGTGTGAGAGTTGGGTGCCAGTTCATGGACGCTAGGCTTAGTCAACTTCTGCAAGTAGGTGAGCGACCTACTACGACCTTCGCTTGGACCCACAACTGGACACCCCTACACCCCACTGTTTATACGTAATTAAGAGGTGTCAGAATTCGATTAATGTATTAAACACCACCTCCTTCGTCACTTTCGCCCTGTGTTAGGGTTATTCTCTATTATCTGGAGCATCCTGCTCTATGCTTCTGTACCAGTGCATTTTGGTTGACATCTTTCTTTTGAATCAAAGCTATTCCTGACTTTCCCTTGTCCTCACTGTTTTCACGCTCGCGTTATTGGATGCCGACGACATTCTGCATTGATATAGTTGCGCAGAAGCAACTTTGCTCTGGGGCTGTTAGCAGTAGTTTACTGGTTATTTTATGCAGCATATTTTTCGATTGTCAAACGTCCGACGAAGGTCACAGTATGTATTTTAAGACGTATGATTTCTGACTTTTAAAAGCCCTGTACACTGTAAAACCTCGAAGATGAATTGGGGGCCTTCACGAATCGTCAAGTCTTCAGTCTCTTTCGTGGACTTCTAAGGCATCTTAGATAACTTTGTGCATTAGTGTTGTACTCCATCAGCATTATTTATCGTGGAAGTACAGTTTCTTTCAATGCCGGCGTGGTTTAGCGATTCATGAGACGTAGAAGTATGTATGGATTCCGACCTCTCGTAAACCTAGAATTTTTGCTGAAGGTACCGTAATAGGAAACTCATCGGTTTGAAGGGTGAAGACTTCATAATCAGTGCCTAACTTTCTGGACACTCCGCCAACTGTTCAGCCCACCTACAACAAGTGGTGGTGCCTAATACAGTAGATTTGGTTTGACCAATTGATCTCCTCTATGAATGTGTGCTGCTTTATGGTGCACCTAGCCTGTAGCAAACAACTGTCACGGACAATAGCCGATATTTCCACTGATGAAATTGGCTTAACTTTCCTACCCAATCACCGCCCTACCCCCTTATTCACTGTCACCCCAAGGCTTACTTTCACACCATCCCTTTCTGCATCCCGCCTTCCACTCACAGAGTCCGTCCAGAATCAAACAGTACAATCAGCTGACTGTACTCGACGACTTTGACTCTCTGGATGAGGACTCCGGCGACGAAGAGAAGGAGCAGAACAAGACGGGGTCGCGGGAAATGATGCCATTGCGAAGTTTGCCTGAAATTTGCTCGGAGGCAGTCACCCAGTTGCCGACGGAACCATCTCAGACGATCGCAGGGCCGGCATTAGCGCCGGAGGAGAAGCAATCTACCTCATCATGCACATTCTCCGGTACTCCGGTTGCCGAGGACCACTCAGCCTGTAAGTGTTCCCTCAAGGTAGGGAAGGTCGTGGTGTTTTTTCATTCTGCCCTGTTTAGCGAAGTATCATCCAACTGTCTCAAACAAACTCATGATGTCGCAGCGTCCAGCTTTGAAATGAAGGTAACATTTAATTGGGCCTAGAGGAACTTTATATGAATGCCACCTATTTCTAGAACAAGTGCAGGACTTTATAAATTATGGGGAGAGGAGGAGATGAGATCCACCTCTCCACGCGACCTTTCCTCTCTCTTTGATGCATCTGGCACGCTTTGGAATGTCGCTGTGCCCTGAAGTCTTGGCTTAGAATGTTACTGGCCGACTCCAGGACCGAGCGTAGTGTTGTGCCGACTCTTAACTGTGACCCTTTGGCGACTATAATCAATGTGATGTCCGAGTGAACGAACTCTGGCTCGTATTGACTGAGTGGCCACCACGTGTGCGGCACGCGATAGGTAAGGATGAAATGCCCCGTCAGCCACTGTGTCTCAAGTCGCCTTGACCTAGTCTTACTACAGTGTCACTATCGGCGAGGGTGAGGTCCGCACCGCGAAAACCACACTCTTTGTTACACTTGCTTTGTCATAATTGACAAAAGCCGTGTTCAGCAGGTTTTACTTGTAATTAGGGTACTGTGTGGAGTAGTACCTGACGTTAAGACGCCTCCGGGGTATCCTCGGAGTCCATTTATGGACCGTAAGGCTTGCAGATTATTGGGTCCGTTGTACATTGTCGTCGACGACATTACCGTTGCAGTTGTTTCAGGAAGGCAGTACTGCTGCTGATGACGTCAGGGTTTACGTATAACAGCTGGGAGTGGTCCAGGGATAAAATTATGGTAGACGGTCAGACAATATAAGCAATAGCTGTTGGCAGCCCGTGGGAATCTGGGTTTCACTGCAGCTACATCGAACGCCCGATTCCTTGCAGCCTACATTTAAACCATAAGTGCTGCACTTGTAGGCTAACGGACAGAGTCTACTTTTGATGTGCCACTTCCGGTGGACTTAGGTCGCGTTCCATCCGACGTTCCAGGTGCTGACGCTATTGGCATGAAGAGCAACATAGTTTGTGCCAAGATGGACGCAAAGCTGCTAAATCATCTCGGTTCGCGTCCAGACTGTGCGCCCGCATTCTGGTCACTTATTAGTCAGTTGTACAAATTTTGTGGTTCTCGGCGATGTGTCGACGTTGTTGCGATAGATGCGGTGGTTTTACACAAAGCCAATGCGGGTTCGAACATGTGTTGACAGTGGTGACGTATGGGAAAGAGTTAGGCGTTGGCGGTGTCGTCGTGAAATACGCCAATCTCCTTTGCCTCATTGATTCGATTGACTTCTAAAGTCGCCGCTCCATTCTCGACGGCAGTTTGTCATACTTCCTGATCTACCAATATAAGGGAATAGACGAGTTTAAGGACGTAGTCGTGAAGAAGGATACACGGGTCCCTTATCTGCTATTATCTCTGATGATGGGTTCGAGCGGGAATCCGAAACGTCAGGCGGATAAATCTCATGTCCCAGCGATCGTGTCTCCTCCACATCTTGATATATTCTGAGGCATTTAAGCGAAGCCGTGATGAGGCCCTTTTAGTCTTGTTTCTGTACTTACAGATTGCGACCACCTCTAGCAACGTCTCCACAGTAGAGTCACTTCATAGGGTCTCCATCAGTTATCCTCACAACGTTGCCACTCCAGATACTTTGAATTTACCTCAACATTGCGAAGATGTTGAGGACACAAACCGATTCCAAAACCTTGTCGCTTCATTACCAAGATCTATGGGAGACAGTTGAGCCGGCAATGGTTGGGCTTCCATGTTTGAATCTGATAGACGTCCCGGGCCCCATCCCTGGCGTCTTTGACGCGCAGGTCCAAGGCTCGATGATTGCAGTGGTACGGGTTCCGTTTCGCAGTCTGCTCCACTTGGCACCTATCCTCCAAGAATCGTTTCAGATTCAGTCTGTTTTTGCCCACCCCACAAGCACACTCTCGTCTCGCCCCAACCTTATCCAGCGGTGCGATGTTTAGCCCCCTTTAGCGCCATCCTCTCCTGAGGCGGTCTCCGTGGGAGTTTAGTGTTCGAAATCTGTGGGTGGTTGTCCGTCCAGGATTTGCTGTCTTACATCGTCTTCATCACCAGTATGCTCCACTTTACGTCTCCTGAGGATCACATAGTCCTCGACGGGAGTGGGGATGTTTCTGACTTGTGATAAATAGGTGGTGCTCCGCACAGGCCATCAGCAGAAGTCCAACTAGATAACAACCACCACTCCTGTGGCGCCTGCATCCCTCATGCATCGAATTCTCTAGGAAGTCAAATTTTTCCGCCTTTGCCACATACACGAGAAAGGAGTGCAAATCTGCGTGGACGTTGTCCTTCATACTGTCACGTAGCGTCACTGTGGAAGCGTAGACCACCAGGGTGGACAAATTGCGTTTCACCGAGTTAGCTTCACATCCCGTTAAAATGATCGCCAGTTCCGTTCAGGAGCCCGAAGTGTCATGGTGACTATACTACTAGTAATACCGATCGTTTGTAAAACGGGTATTATACGGCTATTCCTCAGTAGTTGGTTGTATTCGCCTTAAATGTTCTTCAGAACTTCCTAGTCGGCCTTAAAAAGCCATGTTCCGGACATTTTCCTTCAGGTTATTCCCTTGATACTTTACGAACTACTAGTTTAGCAATGTCCTAATAATTTCTCAATGGAAATTGCATCTTTATCACCTCTTTGTTTTTTTATCGTAACTGTTGCTCCAGGAGAATTTATATCCTGTTCTAACTCTACTTAGCTGTCCTTGTTCAGACAAGGGGTTCCGCATGTTGCCACCGTTTGACAGGAGTAATAGGTGTTCCTCGCCGACTCCAGTGGATCATCTAAAAGCATCCTCCACGCAAGCATGTTCATTAAGTTGTCATTATCTGGCGTTCCTTTCCATTTTTCGCCATATAGTTTCTGCAGTGTCTGGCGGGGAAGAAAACCAACCTGTCGGCTCGACTGACGGTGATAAGATGTTTATCAACCTGTCTCGGTCTAGGAGCAGCACTCCACGGGACACTTCCCCTACGCGCTCTGGAACCCAAGAGGAGTCCGCGCCATCACTGGACCCTGCTGCAAGCTCCAGTCCCTCGGATTGCATTGCCATGGCACCCACGCCGACTTGCATCCCCGACCCACAGGAGTACACCCGAATGCTGAAAGAAGTAAATCGTCTTCGCGAAGAGCTACAACGCATTCAAGGAGTGGCAGCTCCCCAGGAAGCCCCAAAAACCGAGGACATGAAGCCTCTGACGTGAGTTTGTATGTCTCTCCTTCTAAAACCCCGAGATGACTGTTCACTGACCTGCAGACAGTTACGGACGGTAAGAGCATTCGTATGCGGAAAGTGAGCTTTCACATCTTACTTTTGCTGTTTGGAAACATTGGATCGGCGTATTGCTCACTATCCCATTATTCATAAAAAGGATAGTTGTAAGAACGCATCATATTTTCGAGTGACCCCACCGTCTCTCTGAGTAGCAATTTTGTACCCTGTGACGCCTGTTTTAAGGTCGCACCCGCCTGTTTTGAGGCTCACTCGCGCTTGGTTTGAACAGTATGCTCTAGCAGTGACCGAGGAGTAATCGTTAATACTAGTTGTTGTTTAGACGATGGTAGTAGTGCCGATTTGGCCCTCGGGCCTAAGTAACCTTCCTACGGATGGCACCTCCAATATTTCCTTTTGTCTGACTTTAAATTTCATTCCCAGTCGCTGCAGTAAGAAAGACACCTATTTAGGCTTTGCGGCAACTGTGGCCGCGGCGGTGGCGGCTTCGGCGACCAGAAGGTTGGCTAGGCGTTTATGAAGCTCAATGCTGAAATGGAGATGGTGAGCAGGCAAAGACAACAAAACAATATTCACCTTACCTGGGGGTCCCTTACCTTGAGGTATCCTGTGAGGCTGTAGGCGAATCCTCATCTTGGAGATAATGAGGCGGTGGTCGACCCATCCGTCGGCACCCGGGGTCGCCCTTGTCACCGGCACGTCCTGGTGGTCTCGCTTCCGGACGAGGACATAGTCCAGCAGGTACCACTGACGCGAGCGAGGATGCATCCAGGTGGCCTTCTCTCGCGTCGGAGGACAGAAGAAGGTGTTGGCCAGAATGAGGCGGTGTTCTGCACAGGTTCGTAGGAGGAGCAGACCATTGTGGTTGGCGCCGCCGTGGCCGTGGGGACCCAGCACTCCTTTCCAGACAGCATGGTCTGTGCTGACGCGAGCGTTGAAGTAACCAAGGTCAATCAACTTATTCGCCTTCGTCACAGTCGCCAGGAGGGCCTGTAGGTCCTCGTAAAATTTATTTCTCGCGTCGTTAGGGCTGGTCATTGGGGAAGCGTAGATACTGACGATGGGGACGAGTTTGCCTCCCTGGAGAGACAGGCGGAGGCTCATCAAGCGTTCATGGATGGCCTGCGACAGACAGGGCAGTCGTCCCACAATATTGTTACGGATGGCAAAGGCGACACCCGCGTCCTGTCGCCCTGCCTTGTGGCGACCGCTCCAGAAGGTGTATCCGGCAGCCACCTCCTCTGGTTGGCCTTGTTGGGCGAACTGGGTGTCGCTGAGTGCAGCGATGTGCACCAGTTCTCGAGCTACTATCACTGTCCTTCGTTGCGGTCGGTTTCTCCTCGGATTGTCTAAGAGAGAACGAACATTCCAGGCTGCCAGAATGAGCGGTCTCATTCTATCAGTCGGTCGAGTGGGTCGGCGGGAAGGAGGATGAGAAGGGGGAAAAGGGAGAGAGTGCTGCTTCGGTTTTGACCGTGAGTTTTGCGCCTTCGGCCATGGTCAGCCTACAGACGGCGTGGATTGCCAGCATTTGTTTAGGGCACATTTTCTAGCCCCATCGCAATCGCAGAGGTAAGCAGTGCTGTCCTTAAGTAGTGATGCTTGGGCATCCCAGACGACTGCCGGACTCAGTTATGGGCCAGTACTTTTACTTTGTGGGAGAACAGCCCCAGTTAGCCTGTGTCTGCCCAAGACTTTGCCATAGGTCTTGGGGTTGGGGGGTGGGGGTGGGGAAGGGTAGACAGACGCGATGCAGAGCTTTCATGTCCCTCTCCGAGCTAACTGGTTGCTGAAATATAAATGGTGAGCAGAGGAATTTAACAGAACCACATTTACCTGGCAATAACGATGGAGACGAACAAGCAGACGAAGGGCAAGCAAACGAGAGCGGCATAAAGCAAGGGCAACGATGAAATTCATCAGAACAGTATTTGGCTTTCAAAGGGAACAATCACAAACAGGCAAACAAATTGCAATCCTACAGAGCGATGTTCGCCTACCTGGTCACTTGCCTTGCAGTCTCCCACGGTGTTGCGGACTGAGCCTCATCACGGCGATGCCCAGACGGTGATCCATCCGGCCAGCGGAGCTGAGTTACCGTGTGCAGAGATGCACACGGATACCCTCACCTGGTTTGGCCCGCTGGTCGAGGCGGTTACTGGGGTGTGGTCGTCAGATAGAGTCTTTTCAGGTCAGCGAGTCCTAGTGTGTGCATGTGTTCGCGCTGATTTTAGCGCCTATGTGTGTACTACTGTGTTTGTGTACACACACTGTATATCTGACTTTCCGTCGTAGAACTGCATACGGATTTTGCGTTGCGGGCTTGACCCAACACTCGTGGTTACCCTACTTGTCGTAACTCAAGCGTCTCATGTTATTGTAGTCTTCAGTGTCCGGCAGTACAAATCTCGGTCGTTGGGCGCGCGAGTCATGGCTTCATCGAAACTTCACCTACGCATTCTGACTTGGTTTGGGGTCAGGACACTAGCGCCAGTGACTGATGAACGCAAAATCAGTCGCCCTTAGCGCGGAGTTTACTTCCGCCTTGGTTATTTTAATGTCTTTTGAGGGTGCCGGCCTAGTGTCAACAACATTTTCCGCTTAAGAGGCTGAGCACGGGGGTAGCAGCTCCCGATACACAGTCATCGCGGTTCGAGCCTTTTCTCCGAAATAACTACCAAAGATGACGAGTTTAGACAGAGAGAACGCAGCCGACGGCTGACAAACCGGAGACTGCGGCAGCCGTTTTTTCTGTTATCTTCTGCCCTTTTCAGCTCTCTACATCTCAACACCATACGCGCCATCGGAAGGATACTGTTCGAGGCTTGTTTGCCCTTAGAAGTCAGACGGCCCAGTTAGAAAGGTCAGTCCTTCGTAAGCAGATGAGCTGGAAGGTCACTCTTGACTCTGGGTGAATGCGAATGTGATGAGCAAAGGCCAAATTTCAGCGGCCTGTCACGCATTTTTTTTACTAAAAATGACCATTACTAAATAATGTAGGTCTTGGGCGTGCCCTGTCACCAGTCACGCCTATCCCTGACACCTCGCAATATATGATCTCTGTGCCTGCACGACTGTATGTGTCTTTTCGTAAATGCTCACGTCTTCAATGTACACACGCACGTACATCCCAAATCAAAACTCCACTTTTTGCATCCTAGACCATCTAATGACTCCAACGGAGTTGCCGCCCAAGCGAACGGACCCCAGAATCAGGTGAGTTAGTACGCATTCTCTCCTCCGCCTTATTTCATTGCCTTTCTGTGTCCCGATGGTCTGGTCATATGCACGGTGATGTCTATGTGGTCCAGTGTTCTGTGCGGCCACCCCTCGACTACCAGGTGGTGATTCTGGTCACAAACCTCTGGTTCTGAATCCAAGACAATTATGCTCCTCTTCGTTACAAGGGGTGACGTTATTTTGTCTCTAATTGTAAATATACTGTTTAACAGCATGTTACCGGTATCATTTAATCTACGCATCAATTTAGTCGAGTTAGCCTTCGCAACATAAGCAACAAGGATTTTGCATAGAATCTTGTTCCTACGCTAGTTATGTAGTACTACTGCGCTCTTCCGGTAGACGTAAACCATAATAACGCCTCTGCTTCGGGTCGTTTAGGTATGTGGAGCCAGTACGTGTTTTTCTGCACCATGTTTTCCCGCGTTTTATGTTCAAACAGACCTCCACCTCCCGCTCTCTGTCAGTAATCTTTTTTTTCTCTAGTCGTGCATTGAGGATAATACATTGCCCACCGGTTTCAACAGTCCTCTCCACAACCTATCAGTGCCGATCCCCTTGACAGAGAATCGGCGTCTCACGGACTGGTCGGTATCTCTGGACCAAACCAATCAATCCCTCTGTGATTCCACAAGAGAAGACGTGTTGTCGTCGTCTGCACGAGACGGCGGAACGTTTGACGAAGTGGTCACCCCGCGTTCCACCCTGGTAAGTTTATTCCCGCTTTTGCATGTACCAGCTAGCTTTCTGTACGCTTGAACGGGTCCTAAGCCCAACGTCCGGACAGCCTTGGGGTGCCTTCTCTAAGTTAATGGATGCGCTACCAAAACTAGGGTGGGGCTTGCTGACTGCCTTACAAAATGTCATAAAGCCTGCTTACGGCACCGTGCTGTGCTTTAGTAAATCGGCAGTAGATAGTTTCTCTGGCCACAGCTGCGTTTTGTTTAGGTCCCAACGAACCAACCTGGAACAAGAAATCAGGGCGATGTTTTGAACCTTTTGTGCGAAAAGTTGGCAAGAAACCTGACCAAAGTTGAGTTCGGCCAGAACAGGCCTGCTCAAAGTTGTATCGTGTAGGTCAGAAGGCAAAGTTATCGGGTCCTTCTGACCTGGCGTTGCAATATGCCCTGCAGTGGAAAATAAGGCAGTTCCGCTGATTGTTGATCTCTTGACCTTGCTCGACTACCTGCAATATCTATAATTTCTGACTTTTCGCCAGGCAGCATACATCGCCTGTTCTCCGTCGTCCAATCTGGTCAGGTTAATGTGCCGCGCCTTCCTTGCCACCATGCCATCTTAGGGCCCATTATCCGGACATTTAGACTCGAAATTACACACAGTATGTGGCCTCTCAGGGCATGTTAACCGAAATTGTGAAATGTTTTCGATTAGGCAGGATTACTCAAGGGGAGGGATTGTAATATTAATTGTCGTGCAACGGAATCCTAAAATATTTTAGTCGCTCTCGAATGCTGGCTTTTGAATGAGCTTCCTTCTGGCCGCTGGCAAAAGTCACATTGATTTCTGATGTCCTTATAAATTCAAGAAAACGTTTTATTGAAAACATACGCAAGCATATTCCTTCTTGCATTCATTTAGTGGCAACTTACGTCTTTCTCAAGTTTTATCCTCAATATCATCCTGTTCTAAAAAATCCTTTTTACAAATTCCGAGTAATTTTGGACACAATCAGCAGTTTCACTTGCGCTTGAGGTTTTCAAGGTACGCGCCGTATACTTTCTGTGTAGGGAAAACCATGCATTTCTGTCTTATTAAGATTGTGGCCTATGAACAACATTCATAAACAGATAGATACGATGCTGCTTTAGTGGACAATTCGCAGTCTTGAAGAATCCCCTAATTACAGGCCTTTCTAAACCGAAGGATACACTTTCTCCAAGTATCATTTTTCGGAAAGCGACAAAGAATATTTTCGTGTAGCTTCCTCACCGAAAACACATTTCTGAATGTGGTTTAGCATTTGACGAGAAAGACCAGTTACTATAATTTTCAACCTGCATTCAAGCTTTGCTTCCGTTACTTTTTTAAATAGCCCCTGTCACTTGTAATTTAAATCTTCCATCGCAAGATTTCTTGGAGTCCTTATAAAGCACTCACTCCATGTTCGCGTAGTCCTCTGCACTGCAGGTTGGATGGCAAATATAAGAGTCAAATGGCCAGCGTTTTTTCTTAAAGTACTACTTTTTCCTAGTAGCGCGTTGTTCCACGAGAAATTCGGGACTTAAATTTTTTTCATTACACTCCCAAGATAGGTGATAGCGTAAGGTCCAGACAGTTGTTCTGAAATTAAAATCTACCTATACGATAAACTACATGGGAACTCACTGAGGGGCCGAGCCCCTCTCAGTTACTTCATGCAACAGCAGAAACCAGCAAGACACGTGTCCAGGTCTTTTACTAGCAGCTGCGTTGCGAGGATGGTAGGGCATTTTTCCGTGCATAGTGCATAATACTATAAATTTGCCGGGTTTAAAGATGCGCCTTACTCATTGGGGCTGATTGCAATCAGCCCTGATTTTTAGATGGCCTCAGGTTCAGTTTCGAAAAGTCGTTTCCCGGTGACCCAACTCGAGAAGGAAAATCACGCGCCAAAAATTGTGCTCTTGTGATTTATGGCTGTCTTCCTTACTAGACACGTCCTACTTTGGCATCATTTTTTCAGATCGGAAATTAATTCCTGTTCACTTCTTAAGCCCTGTGTGCCTGACTGTTTTAGCGAGGGAGTGATGTTAAACAGGACTTAACATTTACTGCTCGCACTGCCATCACATTCTTCACAGCATTGGGAAGCGCATTGTGTAAAAGAATGATCCCGAGCACTTCCTACCGGTTTGCAGGCGCGCCTGCAGGTTTCTAAATCTCCCCAGATCCGCACCTCATTGTGCATTTTTTACAGGATTCCGAAGCTCATTTGGAGTACTTACACGAGTTATGTTTTGCCAACAACCAAACTCGCTCTTACGAGTTTCCCACGCAGTAGTTTCGCACGTGATTTCTGTTAACCCTCTGTCGCCCCCCTCCCCCTTTCATTTCTTGTAATCTTTCACAGAACACGACGATCGACCTGATTCTCAGCCTATTTGTCTGACATCCAGGCGACAATGGCGATTGATTGGCTAGTACGATCTTTGTGACTTCCCCACACCGATTGCGTTTGCCAAGCGTGCAAAATTTGGTCTGCGTCCTCCGTATGAAAATGACTTGCACAGTGCAAGCTTGAATGACAAATTTCACTCCGCTTATTCTTCTCTTTCCCCGATACTCCCTTTCTGATCCAGTCATTACGCTCCTATGCCTTCTGCGCCCAGATGGGATTAGGCGCCTTCTATGATGACAGTTCGACCATCGATTTCGATGATGTCCACCGTGTGCCCCACAGCTGCAGCAGCGGTGGGAGTAGGGACGGTGACTTACGCAGGGGTTTATAGTGCCAGTAGACTTGCGTAGCATCTACCTACTCTCTCTCCTCCTCCCCCGCCTGGGCCCGGTGTCCAGACGAAGTCAAGAAGACCGGAGACGGGGGAGGCCGCAGGTGGATGGCTTGGACGGATCCTCACCTTGGCGTTCCACCACACCCCCTGGTCCACACAACAAATAACCAGGATTTTCACCAACACAACAGAGATTTGGAGGCTGGCACGGCCGAGGCCGCACCTAGGCGTGCCGCCGACGCCTGACTCGGATCCCACGCTGTGGTGGGAATGCCATAAAGGCCACATTAAAAAGTAGCCATTGCAGCATGACTCTCAGACCACCTCCAGTTAAGGGGGAGGTCCAAGTTACCCCGTCATTTGGCGACCTTCCAAGTCACGGCTTTTAGCGCACCGTGATAGTTTCAAGCGCGTCAGATTGTTTATAGTGAGGAAAATGCGCTGAGTCGTCGACCTCACTCTCCCTTCCCATCCCCACAAGGCGCCTTCTATAAGGTCCCTTGTCGTTATTTTACTATCCGAGAAGGTTCGGGCGTCGACATGAGCACGCAGTCAGTTAGTTGCATCAGATTAGAGACGTGCGCTGCCCATGAAGGTATACCTGATCCTAGCGGAAAACAGTGGGTTCGCGGCTCCACTACCACAGCACTGCGTCTTAGTTTGACCTGAGGCAACCGGTTTGAGCTCTTTCGTGGCACCTTGGTGGCCTGACTCTGACAAAGGAGCAAAGAGCGTCTTTATTTCTCTCTCCTCCTCTCTCTCTCACTCCTTTTAAGGCATGCATTTCTTGGGCTGGAAATCCAGCAGCTAACAGGTTGACGTCGGCGCGACTTCAGTCACTGTAAGAACTGACAACCAAGTATTCGAACCACTGCGACCTCTTGTTAGTCTGAACCCCAAGAATTTCACCAAGCCTACGCCTATCATATTGGGACATCATCTGTTTCTGTATTGTCCACTTGATGCGTCAAACGGCTATTC